GCATACACACACAAATTTTAAAAGTTAATAATACAATTGTCAAGTAATCTTGAAGAGAATGAAGTTAGAGGGCATGTGCTACTTGATTTCAGGACTTCCTGTGCCTGGTAAGAGATAAAAGAACAATGTAAACCCAGGGAAAGCGACCAGCCCTGGATGAGAGTAAAAATGTTAGTTGGGAACAAAATGCTCCCTTTTTATTCAGATGGCTATTTTGTAAGAGTTGTGCTAGCCAGGTATGGTGTTGTACACACTTGGGAAGACAGTCAGGAGAACCATTACAAGTTCCAGGCCAGCCTGGGGCTATAGAGTGAGTTGTAGGCCAGCCTGAGCTACATAGCCAAGACCCTATCTCAAACAAAACAAGAATTACATCACTAATGAGTTGCTTGGTAACACATTTGACAATCCATATTCATTACCAATAAGATAATAGATCAAAAATATGTGAGAAAATGAATATAAACTTCAGAAAACTCCTAGTAACCTTGAGAGGAAATAAGCCAGAATTCAGCAGATTATTAAAAGAAAACGGGAGACTAAAGAAGTGGGAGACTAAAGAAGTTGGAGACTTTAAAGTTAGTTTCCTCAGGGAAACTGGCTCTTGGGAATAAAAAACTGCCAAGTAGATAGGACCGAAATGTAAGTACAACTATAGAGAAATGATGAAGCCTCCTCTTCAGGAGAGACCCCAAACAGGAATATTCCTTGGGCATGTGTAAAATTTTCACAACTGATGCTGCCCCCTGAGGTCCAGGACTGTTACCTTAATTCCACATGTTGTTCAAGTTCAAGAGCACGGAATCATCTTTGACACTTCCTCGTCCTCATTCCACACAGCCACTCATTATTAATTACTATGCATTCCAGCTTAAATCTTTAAAAAAATATTTTTAATTTTTATTTTATGTTTATGAATGTATTGCCTGCATGTGTGTAAGTGCACCCATGTTGTGCAGCGCCCCTGGAGGTCCGAAGAAGGCATCAGATTCCCCTGGAACTGGAGTTATGTTACGGACGACTGTCAGTCACCATATGGGTGCTGGGAATCAAACCTGGGTTCTCTGCAAGAGCAGCCAGTGCTCTTAACTGCTGAGTCATCTCTCCAGCCCCTTAAAAGAAATCTTAAAACAGTCTTCATCACCACAGTCCAGGCCAACATGATCTCTCCCCTGAATTTAAATGACCCCTCCATTCCACATCTCTTCTCTCCTTCTAAATCTCCCCAACTCATTCTCCACACAGCAGTGAGAGAGTTTGTAAATATACATTTTATTACATTACTCCCCTTTCTGAACCTTCCTGATGCTCTAGTCCCAATAGTGGACTATCTGAAATATAAATTAAAAGAAATCAATCCTATTTACAATAGCTATAATGAATAAATAAGTAAATAATCTAGCAATAAGTCTATCTAAATCAAGTCAATGCTCTGTATAAAACACTGATGAAGAAAATTGGTGCAGGCACCAAAAAATGGAAATATATCCATGTTCATAGATTGGAAGACTCATTATCATTAAACTGTCCATACCATCCAAAGAAATCCACATAGGTGATATAATTCCTATTAAACTATTAATAACAGAGATAGAAAAAAAAATCTTAAGATTTATATGCAGCCACACACACCCAAAAATCCAAATAGCAAAAAGAAAAAAGAAGGAAACATTACACTATGTCACTTAAAAAACAAAACAAAACAAAAAAACAAAACCAAAATAAGCTGTAGACTCCAAAATACCATGGTATTGCCATAAAACCACATATAACAATGGAACAGAATACACAGCCTAGCATGAAATTCATGGATCTGTAGCCAACTGGTTTTCAACAAAGGTGCTAAGAGCACACATTGGACAACGTACAGTCTTTAAATAAACGATGCTGGGGAAATCGGGCATCCATGCACAGAAGAATGAATCTCTCACTAGTTACAAGCACTGTGAAATGCATTGAAGACTTAAATGCAGACCTGAAAGTAAGAAATGCTAGAAGAAAGCAAAGGTCATATTTCAGGACATTACAATGATGTCAAGCGATTTTTCCTGGGGAGATGTGAGCAATCATCTAGTCACACTTTGTAGGACTTCAGTGACAGGTCAAAGAAGTCGTCCATCCAAGTCCACCTTGAAGAACCGTGAGTTTATTGGGCTCACTTACAGGACTATAGGTGAGGGGTTATTTATAGGAATGTAGGAACCTCCAAATAGCCTCATCACTGAAAAGTCACCCCAACACGGGTGACGACCTTCTGAAAGCAGCGTAGATGGAGGGCCCTCTTTAGTTAACATTCCACCTCCTCCATGGTCCAACCAGCGCCTCCTAGGACTACACAACTGGGGCCGAATTCATGCAGCTGGCAGGAGAGTGTGGGGGAAGCCATGACTGGAATCTTCTCATGACCCAACCCATCTGCTTCTTGAGGGTCTCTTGCGGGATGTCATAGCTGCTCTGATGAAGATAACAACCATATTACGTACAAAGGACTGGGTTCCGTGACAAAGAGGGAAGGATTCCTTAGATAAGACCTCAAAGCACAGAAGACAAGACGAAAGAAGACAAATGGAATTATATAACACTGAAAAGCTTCTGCACAGTCAAGGGAACAATCACCAAAGTGAACAAGCTACAGAACGGAAGAAAGCATTTATAAATGGTCTATCTGGCAAAGGCGTTAATGGTCAGAATAAATACACTGAATAGAAAATTGAAAATTGAAAATAATCCAATTTAAATGGACCTGGACCTAAATAGTCATTTACCAAAAGTCAACAGGATATAACAAATATTCAGCATTACCTTTCATCAGGGAAATACAAATCAAGCAATGATTTAAAAAGTAACTCGGGGGCTGTAGAGATGGCTCAGCGTTAGAGCATGGCTGCTCTTGCAGAGAACCCAGGTTTGATTCCCAGCACCCACATGACAGCTAACAACCGTCCATTGACTCAACTTCAGGGAATCTGACGCCTTCTTCTGACCTCGGCAGGTATTGCATGACATGGGTGCACTTACACACATGTAGGCAATACACTCATACACATAAAAAAAAAATGATAAAAAGTAACTTGGCTGGGATGTGGCTCAGTGGTACAGCATTTGCCTAGTAGGTACAAGGCTCTGAGTTCAATCCTCAGAACTGAAAATACACAAAATGACAACACATGCTGACAAAGATATAGGAAGAAGAGAACTCTTACTGAGAAAATGTAAATTAATACAGCCATTTTGGAAACTAGCATAGACATTCCTCAAGACATAAGAGAAGATCTACCCAGCAGCCTCACTCCTGGGTATGATGGCAGAAGACAACTATGTACTTTGTGTTTCACATGCTAGGAGAAAGGATTTTGATGGTTTCTATTATAGCATAAAGAAATGACAAGTGGCTGCTCTTGCAGAGGACCCAGGCTCAGTTCTCAGCACCCACATGGCAGCTAACAATCATCTGCAACTCTAGTTTCAAGGGGCTCTGATGCCCCCTTCTGGCCTCTGTGGGCATTACATGCACAAGTGCACTTACATATATGCTGGCAAAACACTCATACACACAAAATAAAAATAATAAAATATTTTTTAAAAAGAAAGAAAAGAAATGGCAAGTGTTGGAAGTGAGCAATGCATTTAACTTGATTTGAATATCAGATGATCTATCAAAACATGGCACCTTGTTAATATGTATAATTTTTGTTTTTATGATGTATCTGTGAAAATAATCTTAATAAAATACTCATATGTTCCCATTGTGAGTGAAAAGACAAGACAAAGAAAGACTGATGTACAATGTGCAACATGCACAGCACATAGGAAAGGGGAGAAATGCAGGGAAAGATGGGTGGGGGCGGGGCGTATGAGAGAGAAATCACATGAAAATTAAATCACAGATAAAGGGGAAGAGACAGGAAAGGACATAAGCCATCTTAAAAGCTATGAGAGCATAGGAAAAGATAAAGGAAAGCACAGCAGGATACAAGAAGCAGCAGTTGTGGGCAGCTGCATTCCAAAGGTAGGAAAGCGTGTGCTTTTTCTTTTTTCTTCCTGTTATTGGTAGTAGGCAAAGAAGAGTGCGGAATCTTTGTGTAAGTCTTGCAACAAGGCCTGGATGTCCCGGGGACTAAGGGTCAGCTGGGCGAGAGACCGGACAACGGAGAGCCATCAACGAAAGATGGGTCTAAATAGGCAATAGAAGGACTGCGCCTCCTCTGTCCAGTACAGCATTGCCAAGGTCCTGTGCCAGGCAAAATCAATAATCTAAGCAAGATTCATTTGCATCAATCTATTTAGAGATGTAAAGTAGAAGATTTTGATCATTAGCTGTGATTATGTAAACTCAAATTGTGTGTGTGTGTGTGTGTGTGTGTGTGTGTGTGTGTGTTGTATATGGAGGGGGAGCCTCTGACTGCATGTATGGAGACCAGGGACTGATATCAAGTGTCTTCCTCTATCACTCTCCACTTTGTTTTTTTGAGACTGGGTCTCTCACTGAATCTGGAGCTCACCATTCCAGCTGGACTGACAGGCCAGGGAGCCCCTGGAATCTGTCTCTCTGCACCACCAACACCAGGGTTACAGGCACACACTACCACACCTTTTACCTGAGTGTTGGGGATCTGAACTCACGGTCTTATGTCCATGACAAGCACTTTACCCACTGATCCAACCTCCCAGCTCCAATTTTATGGATGGTGGGTAATGAATTCTTTTCACAAAATTGCTTCATGTTGCTTCTATTTAAAAACCCTGGTCAGCATTTTGCTGTTTCTGGTAATATCAGGATTAGACACACTCTCGGTCAAGGCCTTTGTGTTGGGGTGGCTAATGGTCAAATGGTACCCAGGCTCTCCTGAACCCTCACTCTCCATTTGGAGTACCCTTTGGCCTCTTTCTAATTCCTTTGTTTTTCTCAACTAGATTCTTAGGGCAATTCCTCGTTTAGAGAAACCAACTATTCCTCAGGCTCCTTTAGAAATCCAAAGAGCAGATACCAGTCGCTCTACCTGTTTCCTTCAAGATCACACACATAGGTGACCACTGGAGACCAGTCAAAGGCCCCTGGCTCCTTCTTCAGCCATTTCTGCAACTCCTGAAGGTTCTGGTCTGTGTAGTCAGTGGCAATGATTTCCCTGAAGGACTCACAGGCAGAGAGAAGTTGGTAGATGGTGGGACCAGAGCCAATGTCGATCAGGAGGTCTCCTTTCACACCACCTGGTCCAGAGGAGGAAGAGATCAGGCATCATATACGGGTGGGCAGAACTGAAGTTACATTGTCTTCACAGGGATTGTGCTAGAAAAGCCCAAAGACATCCACACCACTCACCACTCTCCCTTGAAATTTTTTTAGCAAGATATCTTTTCATTTTTACATTCTCCATCCTCAGTCCCAAGTGCATCATATTTTGCTGGGCTATTTTAAGATCTGGGAGAGGGGACAAAATGATCTGCATCTGGTACACAGGCAATGTAAAAACTATTAAGAAATACTTTGATGGAAGTGTATTTTCTTTTGTTTAAAATTTGAGCTCAGGGACTAGAAAGATAACTCAGCAGTCAAAAACATTTAGTCCAAAATCATGAAGACCAGAGTTCTGATCCTAGCACCCCTATAACAATCCAGGCATCCCGCAAATGCCTATAATTCCATCTCTGAGGGGAACAGAGACTGGAAGATTACTGGAGCTTTCTGGCTTCTAGTCTAAGTCATGAACCCCAGGTTCAGGAAGAGACTCTGCCTTAGAGGAATAGATAGACAGTGATGGAAAAGGTCACCCAGTACCTTTTTCTGACCTCTGTGTGTGTACAGGTGCGCAACACAAGCACATCCACTCACACAGACACACAAATTAAAAATGTTAAAAACTGGATTTAAATAATGCCCCAAAGCATGTCATTCTTAAAATTTTGAGGGGTCTTTACCTCATGCATAGTCACAATATCCCTTTCAATAAGAATAGAATAAGAACTATACTCTCAATTTCTTCCTGTTTTGGGAATTTCACTCAGCACGCCAGCCTAGCTGAAACTATGTATCCCATGCTGACCTCGAACTCATGGAGCTTTGCCTCAGTCTCTTGAGTTTTGTGCCCCTACATCTGGATCTCTCAGACCCTCTAAAGTGGCCCATAAAATTGAATCACCCCTTCAAGCCACCTAGCAAATCACTATAGATTCAAGGGCAGCACTTAGGCCTTCTGGCTTCCCTTTTCATGGTCAGCTAAAAGACAATGGATACAAAAGAACGGTGTAAACTTTAAAGCAGCTAAGCCAACATTATTCTTATTAAACAAACTGGTGATGCCAAAAGGCTGTCCAACAATGATGAGCAGACACAAGCCCAGTCACCTGAGACTTGATATGACTCACAGAGAACCCTCCAGAAGACTAAAAGACAAACTTACCCAGGCAGAATATCTTAAAAAGGCTTTTCAGAAGGTGCTTCAGAATCTCATTTTCTGCACAGTGTCTGGACCCAAAGCTGTAATAGTTCTCCAGGTAATCCCGAGGATTAAAATGGCTTAGATAAGTATCCTTGGAGGTAAAGCCAGATTCCATCTTGTCTCGGTGCTATGCCACTGGCCCACTGCTCTCCTTCCCTTTCTCCTAGAAGCCAGGGAGTCGCCCTGCAGAATTGGTTTTCAGAGTCTTGGGCTAGCAGTCTTTCTTCTATCAACTTGGCCCATCCCGTAGAGACTGGTATTTGTTAAACACTAACTGTGAAATAGACCACAAGTGTTCTGGCTATTCCAGGAAGTGATGCAATTCCTGGAAAAGGGAGTTTAGGAGAAGAGGGGAGTAGCAGAGGGAGGGCCTCAAGCAGCAGGCAGCCCTCCGCCCTGTGGTAAACGTCAGCTGCAAAACTGCAGGCAGAAGAAATCACCCAGCTCCTCACAGAAATGGTTTAACTCTCAGAAGAAGCTCTAAGCTCAGAGAGCTGGGTCACCTCCAAACACCATTAGCATTTTTCTCATTCTGGCAGTGGTTCCTCCCCCCCAGAAAGAGTCATGAGGAATGTTTTCAATTCAAATATGTAAAAGAAATAAAAGAGAATGTAAGACAAGGAAATGTGCTCAGAGCTACAGAATGTTGGCTAAGGAAGGAATCTCAGATGAAGTCTGGAAAGAGTAATATTTAAAATTTTTTTTCAATTTTATGTGTGTGTTGCCTGCATATATGTAAGTACACCACATGCATGCAATGCCCATGGAGGCCAGAAGAGGGAGTAGGATGCCCTAGAACATGAGTACAGATGGTTGTTGTTTGCCATGTGTGCTGGGAACTGAATCCAGGTTCTTTGGAAGAGCAGTCAGAGCTCTTAAACACTGAACCATCTCCCTAGTCCTGGAATGAATAATTTTAAAAACATGGATAAGTGTCTTCTGGACACAGCATGGCCGTTACACTTATGAACTCACAGCAGCTATGGTTACCTGCACAAGGTCAAGCCAATGAGATCAGCCAACATTCCAGCAGGCAGCACTAATTGGACTCAGTGAGATTAAAAAAAAAAAAAAAAAAAAAAGGAGAGAGGGAAGACATGAATGTGGATGAGAGATGTATTAGGAGGTGTCAGAGGGGAATGGGAAGAGGGAGCTGGGGCCGGCATGGATGAAACTGTCAAGGAATAAATAAAAGATATTCTAAAAAATATATTTCAAAATAAATAAATAACAAAAATATGGTCAAGGGTTGGGGATATAATTCATTTGGTCGAATGCTTGTCTAACATGCATGAAGCCTTAGGCTTGATCTCCAGCACTGCATATATCTGACGTGGTTGTACATGCCTGTAGTCCCAGAACTCACGAGATAGAGGCAGGAGGCTCAGAAGTTCAAGTTCACCTTCAGGTGCATTACTAGTTGGAGGCCAGCCTGGGACATGTGAGACCTTCTTTCAAAAGAAACAAACAAAAAAATGCACGGAGAAGACTTTCTGTAGAGTCCCGACCATTCAACAAGGCTGAACTCTCAACTCCTCCATGACTTCCATCCAGCCCACTGCATGTGTAAATTCCCTGCCCTGCCACTGTTCAGCTACCCCAAGCCTTCCTTCTCCTTCCAGTGAATTCAAATCCTGACAGTTCTTCCAAACTAAACTTGAAACCTTGACTGCTTTAATTTCCATTTCTGGACTCACATTGCCCTTAGACTTCACCCCACCTAGCCAGACACTTGATTTTTGTGGATCATGCATTTGTCCCTGGTTTTGTCTGTTAATTTTTCTTCCAAAACTACTCTTTACAGATAGGCTAAACTAAATGTACAGCTCCCATAGACCAAGGGCTGTGGTTTAGGTCTTTATATTTTCTGCTCTATGTTATGGGTTGGCTCACCTGGTACCTGCACAAAATTAACCAACAGATGTCATTACTCCAGATATAATTGCAGTAAGTGTGCACCATGATTTAGCAAGGGCTCTTTGGTTACAAGCCACAGAAAATCACTCGAAGAATCCTCACAAAGGCTGGGCATGATGGTGCATACCTGTAATCCCAGCATTTAGGAAGCAGAGGCAGAAAGATGGTCCACAAGTTATACAGCAAGACCTTGTCTAAGGAACAAAACCAAAACCATCATTGGTAGGAGACTATAACAAAAAACAAATTACAGGGTATCTAACTGGGCCAAAACCCCTTAGACAGTTTAGTTATCTTTTCCTGTTTCTATTTTCTTCTGCCTGTCTTTGAGGGCGCTGGCTAAGGGCTTCTATTCTCTGCAAACCAGCATATTTTGCTCATCTACTCCTTGAGGCTCCATTCTGGTCCTTCCAAATGGTGGAGTCCACACTAGAACTCACTTAAGTCTCTGATTCTCCCCCTAAATGAAGTTGTTGAAGGAGATCCATGCGACATTGATACTGCCTCTTGCAGGAAGGTCAATGAGACAGGCACATGGTCTCATAGTGGATTCTCAAAAGTCAACCTGCAGACTTGAAGACATGTAGCCAAAGCAAGGTGTCTTTGTGACAGATCCCCAGGCTGTGCTGCAGTACTGCAGCCCCCTCCTGCATCTCCTGATTGCCCTGGAAGGAAAATGGAAGGAAGGAAGGAAGGAAGGAAGGAAGGAAGGAAGGAAGGAGGGAGGGAGGGAGGGAGGGAGGGAAGGAAGGCAGGCAGTTTCCATGTAGTCTGAAGCTTGGTTGACCGATAGCTGCTCATCCTGTTTTCTGCTAATAAAACACTCAGTTCATTATCCCAGTGATAAGCCCATGAGAAAACAGTTCTTCAAAAGATTGAAGTAACATGGCACACTCTCTGAATAAAAGCTATAGGATCCAGAGCTGCCAGATCACTCTGTTGCTAGGTATACTCATAAAACAGAAACTATGTACATTATCACTGCTTATAGTTACCAGTGGAAAGATGACTCATATTGATACATCTATGCCTAGTAACATGTCTAGTTCTCAAGGAATATGCCCCTTTTCTAAAAATTCCTTTGAAAGTCAATATATATGAGCAGTAGAAGAGTTTACTAGAATGCTAGACATAATTGGAAAGAGACTTTGAAAATTGGAAGACAGACTAAAAGAAATTATACAAAATGTAGAGTGAGAAAAAGAAATGGAGAAAAAGAAAGAGAAAGCTAAGAGTCAGAGTATGAAGTCACCTAATCTACTTCAAATTGGAATTGCAGATGCAAATAAGAAATAGACTGGATCAGAGTAGTGAAGGTAAGAATTCTCCAGAACCAGTGAAAAACACTGTATCAAATAGAGCCCAGCCAAGAGAGGGGAGCCAATCATTAATTTGAGTTGGAATTTTTTTTTAAATGATTGAGTTGTAGATTTAGTGGATAAAACTGTTTTTTTGTTTGTTTGTTTGGTTGGTTTTTTTTTTTCAAGCAGTTGTTTAGTTTTCTTTTTCTTTTTTTTAAATAAATAATTTATTGAGAATTTCATACATGCATATAAGGTGTTTTGATCAAATCCATGCCCATCTAACTCCCCTCTGACTCCTCCCATATCTCCCCATCACTTGTTTTCTGATAACTTCATGTACTCTTTCTTCTTCTTTGATTTATTTATTTTTATGGGGCTTTTGGCTACTCTAACAGTCCCACCTCTGAAGAAGTAACCCTAAAATCTTCTAAGGATTAGATACAAGCTCCCAAACACTTTCAACATTTTTGGCCTTTAGTATGTTGCTAAAAGGCCCAAGGATATTTTGACTTTTAGCCAAGAAACTGGCTACTTTTCTTTGAGGTCTTTTTACTGTAACTGCCTAACCAATTCCTACCTCCTATTCTTATCACAACTTCCTCTGAAGGGGTTACCCAAATTCCCAATAGGGAATAGGGACACAGACTGCTCTGGCTTCTTCCATGCTGAACAAGGACGCAGGGTGAGGCAATTGTAGTACCCCTTCAGTGGGTCTATCTGAAAGACTCCCAAATTGCATAACTCTTATCTATAAGGGGAAAAGAAAGTCCTTGAATCGTTAATAGGCGATGTGAAGAAGTAAAGACAAGAGTAATTAGCATTATAAGCTCTAGCCAGAGAACTAGAAAAAAGTCAGAACAGAGCAATTTTCAAATGTTCATGAGTCCTTCGGAGTTTCTTGACAAGGGTTTCCAAAAGCACCCCTCTAGTGGGTTCCTCCTCATTTTTCTTTTGTCTTCCAAGGCTGGACTCTAGAGTGATGGATTCAGGGTTTGCTTTAAGGTATTTTGATAGCTGTTAGAGTGGTTAGAATCAGTGCCTGTTCTCTCTCAAAGGCTTCTAAATAGGGGGAGAAAACAAATTCATCCATCATTTCAGAACAATAGCTGGTTGCCTCCCTTAGCTACAGGTGGGCACTACAGTATTGGAGACCAAGATTTGAAGTCTTACATCTGAGCAGCACTTTCTGCTTAGGAACAAAATCATCAATGAGAAATAATTGTCTAAATAACTTTTTATATAGACTTAAGCTTAATGTCTGGGAAGTGTAATCCCTTGAACTCTTAAAGAAATATACTGATGACTTTACTCTTTGGTTATACTTTCCTTTTGGGTGTTTAAGACATACAGTTGGCCCAAATAAATCAATTTATTTTTACACTTAAGGTCACTTGAGGATCTATTCCTCAGGGGTCACATGGGCTTGGGAGGAGCTCCTGGCTCCTTTCTTTTACCAGTTCCATCTATATGAAGATAAGTCAAAGGTCCTGCTTAACCATGCCTGGCTTCGCTTGGGAGCATGAATGAGATGTTTCCTCTGAGTTGACCCTCTTCTTTGTAGACCGGACACTGGTTCAAGTCCATCTCGTTGTTTGGAAGCATGGAGGAAATGCTTCCTCTGTGTTGACCCTCCTATTTGTAGACTGGACACTGGTTCAAGTCCATCTCGTGGGGTCTTCTTGGCCTCCCTGAACAAGAGGACAGGTGACTCACCACAGTTACAGGACATTTTGAGGGATGTTCCATACTCCCCTGGAACTTAGTCAACCTTGGAGGGCAAGGGGCAAAACTGTCCTTTAAGTCCCTCTGACCACATTAGTATAGGCCTCAAACTATGGCTGTTAAACATCCAATAAGGCTAGTTCCACTGGTCTGGTACTTTTGATTATCCTGTGCTATGTAGATAAGGAGTTGGAAATTTTTAATATAAATTTTAACAATTATTAAATAATAAGTTAACTACCAAGATGGTAAAAGAGGTGCAACAGGAGGCAAATTCAGAAGGTCATCGAGGCTGATGAAACAAATAAATCAAAGAAAACAAAAAACTTAAGGGTTGTTTTGATAAGCAGTATTTTTATTACAGCTCAGTT